GATTAGATGACTTTATCTACAAGATAACTGCACCAATCTCTCCTGGTTATCTCCTGATTATATGCTCTTCAAGCAAAACTAGTTTTCTAATGAATGCTACCATTAAAGGGACACAGTCAGCTTTGGGACCGCGCTGACCTGGACACTTGTTTTCTCACTTTGAAAAAAGTTCACCTCAACCTGAAATCAAAGTACATCTAGAAATCCACTTCAATCTTCGTAGTGTTTTGCTTGATTTTCAATTGTTTACTGAAAAACCTGTTTTTGAGTGTGCTTTTGTTCATCCTATGATATTACTTTTATCATATTTGGTTAAAAACAGTATGGATCACGTCTCGGTGATATGCAAATTAGCTAAGCAATGGTATCTAATGTGCATGTGCTCCAGCTGACTGTCCATTTAAAGCAGGAACCCATCACTAGGAGTGTGCAACTTCCCCAATTATTCCCGTCCCGGCCTTTTCACAGACCCATCTATTTTTAGTTTGAATTTACCGCGAATTCAGACCCCCGCAGGAACCTTAGTGACCAATCACAAGCCGGTGGACTTTATAATGTCCACCTGAGGCCGCCAGTTTTCTCCTTACCGATTCGCGCTCATATAGACCAGAACTGACCTTTTTCGTGCGAGAAGCCTTAAAATGGACCGGTCTGTAAAAATACCGTGACATAGGCTTATTATGGGAGTTGCAGGCTCTTAGTGATGGGCTCCTGACCAAAGTTGACTCTAGGGTACATACATGAAGGGCTAACAGCATATCGCAATGGACGTAATGCATAATAGGGCGATTTCTGAAGAGTATTTTATTTTGTAAGTACAGGCAAGATGAACACTTCTGCTTTATGATATGGCAGGAGCCGAGGATATGGCTCAAACTGTCAGAGTCAAGGGCCCAAAATTAAAAAAAATTCTTGAGTAGCCATTTGGCGACTAAGTAATAAAAATCAAGTGGGAATTTTATTCAGAAAAGAACTCCATGCATAAAATCTGTAAAGAAAAATTTCCAAGACTTTTTTGGCCGCTAATTTTCTATACGTAGCTAATGTAATGTCTATGAAAGATTCATGCATTCCAAGAGACACAATGGGTAGGCATACATGACGTACTCAATCCTCAAGGGTTTGCAATGCATTATAGGGCGATTTCAAACACGATCAGCCATTTGCAAGTTTTCCGATGTGGAGGAATCCATCACAGCAAAGCAAAAGGATAGATTGCTTTCTTTTCTTATATTGAATGTTATAGAAACAAAGATCTTTGACTATGTATTTCTGGAAGGACGTAATGTCTGAGAAAATAACCGTTATTGATCGTCAACACAGACAAACGTAGTCGCCATTATGGTAGCCTGTGAACGCAGACGTATTTTCGGCTGTCGACTAAACCAGAATTTTTGGTCGCTAAAGATGAAAGTTTAGCCGTATTGGCGACGGTACCGGTCGCAATTTCGAGCCTTTTAACAAAGTATCTAACTATATTTTACGGAAGGACAATCACGTGGTGTTGGTGAAATGTTCGGACATCATGTCCGATCATAATGTGAAATTGGCCGGACATATTTAAAATTTGGTCGGACAATGTCCGGTGACCGATTGTTATTTCCAGCCCTGTACCTGCACTGAAAGATTTAAGATAACTTATTTTACTCTACTTTTATCGCATTCAATACAGGTGACAAATGTTTGGAATTTGAACCTTAAAGACCGTTGGAGTTTGTACAGACTATGGGTGATGGACGTGCGTCAGCGTTACCGCCGCGCGATCTCGCACGTCCACCGTGAATTTGAATGGGGTGTCGAGCGTCTGAAGAAAGCAAAGGCCATGCAAGACTTGGAGACACTCGAGCATGCTGATGTCATTGGCATGACTACCACAGGTGAGCGTGGCCTAGTGAGTGCAGTGATTTTGGAGGCGTCAAGGTTCTTTTAATTAATATACAGCTCCAACTTTACCATGCTTTGTATACAGTTATGTCCTCGACCGACACATTGAAATTGATTCCTGTGGTTTGTCATGTTTTATAATGCACGGCAGTTTTCGTCTTTGGTCACTTAACTTATCTATATATGTGACAAAGGTTACATAATACTTGAGGGAAAGGACACACACTGTAATAAATAATTATAAACCAAAAAAAAGGAGAGAAAAAATTGTGAATAAAGTTGTACATTAAAGTAAAAGTGTTAAATTCACATGTTTGAGGTGTTTGTACCTATTATTATTATTATTATTATTATTATTATTATTATTATTATTAACCTTTTCTGCAAGATGCAGGAATTTGTCCTAACTTCGTTTCTTCGTTATTTACATGAAATCATTCTATCCTAATTTAACGTTTGCCAGGTATTGCCTGTATTCGTATCGTGCTCGCGCGTTCATTGAAATGTTCATTGGAATTATTCTCTTAAATTTAGGTGCAGCTAAGTATCGCAAGATTTTGCAGAGTTTGCGACCGCGAATAACTATTGTTGAAGAAGCCGCTGAAGTACTGGAGTCACACATTGTTACATCATTAACTCCCGGATGTCAGCACTTGATTCTGATTGGCGATCATCAGCAACTCCGTCCCAATCCCACAGTCTACGACCTAGCCAAACACTACAACCTGGACGTGTCGCTATTCGAAAGAATGGTGAAGAATGGGATGCCATTTACAAGACTACGTTTGCAGCATCGCATGCGACCTGAAATCTCCAAAATGCTGGAGCACATTTATTTTGATCCAAAGTTGGAAAATCATGAATCGGTGATGAATTTTGACAACATTAAGGGCGTGGCTCATAACGCATTCTTTGTGGACCACGAGGAAAGTGAGGTGGGTACCCATAAGCCATTGTCATGTTAATAAAATGACTGCTTCGTTGGCTCACGCAAAAGTATGAGCAATCCTTCACTAGCTGGGGAAGTAAGTCAACTTTCCAATATTTCAACCAAGAATGATTTTTGCTCCGTCCCTCTCTTGATGTTTTCTAATTAGAAAATAGGGTCAAGTTCTTTGCACACGACATCTTGCTGCCATCTGGCTCTAATGTTTCTTAAAATTCTACGGCCCATAAGCCAGGTTTACTCTTGTGAAACGAGCAGTCGTATAAGCACAGGAAATCCCAAGCGTACACCGAGGTGAACTAAGACTAAGTAAAAGCGTTTCATGCCTATACCTATGGTCATGGTTCTTACTGAGCCAAACCGACCTGAAGTGATCGGGAATGCCCGAAACCCACATTATTTCCTCCCAACCCTTCACTGCCTTTAGCATCTAATAGTAGCGACTGGGAAAGAGTCTGCTGCCACTTTTAACTTGATATGGTACCTTCGAGGTTGCAGTCCTATTTACTAGCACCAAGAATCGTTCCTTATTCTTGGTGCTAGATCGTGGCCGCTGGGGACGAAAATGTACTCAGTTGAATTGCACTCCACGTAAACCCTTGTTGTTGCTCTGTGTATGCGCTAATCGTAAGTTTGAACGTCTCTATGCTTATGGCTATGCTTATCTCTGAATTAGTTTTAAGTAATTTTTGTACCGATATTTCGTGGGCTTCGTCAAATCTCGTCGGTTTTCACTGAGAAAAGTGATCTGGCTTAAGTCCGGATGCCCTTTTCCTTGTTCTTTCCTCTTTCATTTCTCGCCTAGTTGTTGTGACACACATTTGTACTGTTCTGCATTACAGGATTTTACAGTGGAAGGAATGAGCAGGTCAAATAAGCATGAAGCCAAATTCATAGCAGCCCTTTGTCGCTACCTCATCCTTCAGGGTTATGAAAGAGAGCGAATCACAATCTTAACAGCTTACGTTGGCCAGTTAACACAGCTCCAAAAAGAACTTGTGCCTAAAGATTTTTTCAGCGGAGTTCGAGTCTGCGCAGTGGACAATTTCCAAGGCGAAGAAAATGACATCATTCTTCTGTCACTTGTTCGAAGCAATGAAGAAGGCAAAATCGGTTTCCTGCAGATAGAAAACCGGGTTTGCGTAGCGTTGTCACGCGCTAAGAAAGGGTTTTTCTGTATCGGTAACATCAGTCTTTTGGAAGCAAAGAGTACATTGTGGAGCAAAATAATCAAGGATATGCGAGAGCGTGGGAATGTGGGAAAAGCATTGATGCTGATGTGCCAAAACCACCCGAAAAACGTGATCCACGCCTCATGTGCTGAAGACTTTGAAAAGGCACCCGATGGAGGCTGCACCATACCATGTGCCGCACGACTTGAGTGTGGTCACGTGTGTGAAATGATGTGTCATCCAGTGGACCCAGAGCACCTAGAATACGAGTGCCATAAGCCCTGCACTGAGACTTTGTGCGCGCTGAATCATAAGTGCCCTGATCTATGCTACTTAGAATGCGGGCCTTGTATGGAGCCTTTAGAAAAGACCCTTCCACGTTGTGGCCATCTTCAAGTGGTTCCTTGCTACATGTGCGATGACCTTTCTGAAGTAAAATGCCAAATAGCCTGTTCAAAGATCTGGCCGTGTGGACATAAAAACGAGACGAAATGCCACGTGGATCCACTGCACAGTCCATGCACGACTCCTTGTGATATGCCCTTAAAGTGTGAACACCCTTGTGTTGGTAAGTCCGTCGAAAACATTCAATAAAATTTATGTACAATCACAATTTAATTGAAGAGTATTTTAGTTTTTAACTACCTGTGTATCTTATTTTTCATTTGTACTAGGTGACTGCGGTAGCTGTCTGCGTGCTCTAGTCCATGCGTCATGCAATGCACAGTGTAATCGCACGCTACTTTGTGGTCACAACTGTAGTGAACCATGCAGCAAAACCTGCCCTCCATGCAAAGAAAGCTGTAGCAACTACTGCAAGCACATCAAGTGCACGAAGAAATGTGGTGAACCGTGTGATCCTTGTAACGAGAAATGCATCTGGCGTTGCCAACATCATAAATGCACAAAATTGTGTCGGCAGCTTTGCGACCGTCCTCGATGCAATTTCCCGTGTACAAAGCTACTTCCCTGCGGGCATCCCTGTATTGGTCTTTGTGGGGAAATATGCCCGAAGAAGTGCCGAGAGTGTCACAAAGACGAGGTGACGGAGATATTTTTCGGAACGGAAGATAAGCCTCGTGCTAGATTCGTGGAGCTGGCAGACTGCGGTCACGTGTTTGAGGTTGAAATGATGGATCAGTGGATGGACCAGGCGCAAACAATGCCTGATGGGAAGTCTGTTGATGTTCAAGTGATCCTGAAGCGCTGTCCAAAGTGTAAAATTCCGATCCGTTCAAGTTTAAGGTACGGCAACGTTGTCAAGAAGATCCTCAGAGATTTCGAAGAGATAAAACAAAAACTTTCACACGACAAACGTCGGTGTGACCAAAAGGTAGAGAGGCTTAAATCGAAGGTGGAGAAGATTGACGAGACTGACCGATTTCCCAACGACCAAGACAAAATCAAAAGGATGCTGGATCGTGAGAATCTCACGGATGAACAAATCAACTTGATTGACAACCAAATCAGGTTTTTGGCTTTTCTTCAGACACTAAAAGCTAATATAGGCTCTTTTAAAGCTGATAAACGTTCCCGGGAAACGAAGAAAGACCTAGAGAATAAAATTGGACAGCTCCGGGACCGTGTGATGGGGTCTCAGGTTCAATTCAGCTACCAAGAACGAGAAGAACTAAAAGAAGAAATGTTCAGAACAAAGCTTCTAATCGACCTCAGAATGCTTAAGATGCAGCTTGACATCCGGGGTATTCAGTTGGGAGACACTGACACTGTGGTGGTTGACTATATTGAAGAAGTATTGGATTCAGAGAAGAAAATCGGTAAGAGTACAGAAAAAAGGGGTATAAATGTGTGATAGGATAAAAAGTGATACGGTCAAAGTAACGGCTGAAAGGGACAGAGACGATGATCTAAGAGAACACATTCCCCACACATGGGCCACTTCTTATGGTAATCTTTTTCAATCTTAATTTAGCGCGTAGTCATACTGCGAGGCTATTTTAGGAAAGATACCTGATTGGTCGATCTGAATGACGTAATAAGATGAAAAGTTTGGTTTTAATAGTCAATCGAATATGCAAAAAATCTGCGTCGGGATTTTCGGAGCGCAATTCGTAAGGGAAGGGCGAGAACAATTTTAACTGTCCGGCGCTTTAAAAGAGCTTTCCAAAGAGATACAGAGAAATGACAATTATTTTCGCAGTAAACTTAGGATAAGCACATAGAAGATAATTTTCCTGCCCAAATGCTTTCTAAAGAGACCTCAAATATTTTAGCTGTTTTAGATGTTTTTCGCCTCAATCCGTTCGAATTCAGTACTTTCAGAGAAATGTCTTTAGAGTGGTTTCACACAAGTATTACTGCTTCGCTTCGGAGAAGAACGTATAAGATAATTTTGTTGCCCAGCGCTATGAAAATGCTTTCCGACATTCCACAATGCAAACAGTGCGGTAGTTCAAAGCAAACTGATTTTTTTTTCTCTTAGACCCGTTAGATTTTCATTTTCGGATTTAGATGAACGCGGCGCGATGACCGTTAAGCATGGGCTGCGCAATCATGGGACCGAGACTAACAACTTTGACAGGGTGACGCGAAGCTGAAAATAGTTTCAAAAAGATAATCATGGGGCACGGGGATGTGTTCTTTTGGATCATGGTCTCTTGGAGGGACTTGGAGAAGACGAAATCAAGGAAATTAAGCACAAAGAAACCATTCACGCCTGATCTCGATTCGCCCTCGTTCTTTAAGTTAGCCTTTTCAGCTTGCGGGATTTCGCAGACGAGCTATCACTTTTCGTCCTACTCCCTACCGGCCGAGGAGCCTTTTCAACGGCTGAAGAACCTGAGACTCGCATAAAACCCACCACACAGATTACATGATCCTAAATTGGACTCACTTTTGTGTGAAATACTGTTAGGCAGCTGCAGGTAAAAGGGCCTGGTTTGTTTTAGGAAGAGATTGGATAGCAGTTTATGGGCTGGATTTAGTTAATTAAGCTTGCTTTCACAACTCTAAGGGTGCGTTCCTTTGGGGTGATCTGGACCAGGATTAGTGATCCAAGATCTGTCTGGATCACGGTGCATCAAAGGAAACGATGAATCCATGACCAGAGTGGATTCATCGGTTCCTCTGATGCATCGTGATCCAGAAAGATCTTGGATCACTGATCCTGATCCAGATCACCCCAAAGGAACGCACCCTAAGTAAAGCTGATGAAGTGAGAAACAACCTCCTGCATTCAGTTTTTAACTTCCACCATAAATGGCGACTTTGCGATGGCAACCTCACGGAGGATCTTTTGGGGTATTTCCAGGCAGGTTGTGTCGTTTCCTTCGTTTCCGTCTCTCCTCCCACAGGGTTTAAATCTGTTTTTTTAATTTTTTTCGTAGTTTGGATAACTTCGTTTCTAGAGATATACGTACTTTTTCTATTTCGATAACCTAAAAAATGAAACTTTTGAGATTGGCTAGCTTACGATTCACCGTGGAAGAACTGCAAATGTCACTTGGCTTTAATTTATTTAACTACCGGCCAGCTAACTAAAAAGAGAAATATACTAACTATAGTATTTTGCAACATCTCAGACAAAAAACGCCGAGAGCGATACAGGGCTCGTATTGAACGGATCAGACTTCAACAAAAAGGGGTTCACCAGGGGGCTGCAAGAGAAGAGAAAGATCTCATTGTGAAGGGAAGGGGAATGACACAGGGACATTGGTTCAAATGTCTAAACGGTGAGTGTCCATGTCAAAGTTCTCCTTACATATTATAGTCGAACCTCTCCACAACGGCCACCTTGGAACAGAGGAAAGTGTTCGTTGTAGAGAGGTGGCCGTTAAGGGGAGGTAACATGACACCTGCTTTTTTTTTCGCGGGTGCAGTTTTTTTTCCCAAAAATTCTTAATTTAGCATATATAAATCATAAATGTATCAATAAAACAGAAACAGAGACCAACAACGCGTGGTACGGATCGAGTTTGGTGACCTTTTGCAATAAAAAACAAATGGGTTTTGAATACACTTTTCGTCAGTCGTTGATTAACTGGCCTTTTTCGAGAGGTTATTTTGGCAGTTGGTACATTTTTTGTGGCCGTTGCCGTTGTGGAAAGGTTAAAATAATAGTGAATGTATAGACCAAAAAAAGTGGCCGTTGTAGAGAGATGGCCGTTAGCTGACTAAAGGTTCCACTGTATTTCAGTATCAGTTTGCTCAATGGAAGAATTTGGCCTCAATCAACATGTTTTTCCCGAGGTCATCTGGTCATTCGCCATTCTCTTTGTACTTCCCTCGCGTTCTTACTGTATAATCCCTGCTGGCTTTTATATATAATTCAACACTGCACCTGGGAAGTAGTATCAGTCATCACATCTGTCAATTTTTTTATGTCCTGCTTGCTTTTTATTTCCTATCTCTAAGGTCACATCTTCTGCATCACAGAATGTGGTGAAACGATCAGAGAAACCAAATGCCGAAAATGTCTCCGCAAAACAGTCGATGACCGTAATAACTGGTCACGAATAACCACACCGCGTGTCTGGAGAAAGAAATGATCAAAGTTCAATTAGGAGACCACGACAGCCTCGTTAACAGTGATCTGTCCCATGTGATGTCGATTGGAGAAGTTGTTATTGTGCGTGCTCATGTACCAGTACTCTCCAGGCTTCTTGATACGGAAACACGGCGGGTTGCAGGAAGCTGGGGCGTTTTTCAACTGATTCTGAAGATTTAACGTAGTAGCGTCAAAATCAACTGAATCAACCACTTCAAAAGGCAAGCTGGAGCAAGCTGCTGGTTTGAGAGAACTGCATCCTTCCTTTACCCGACAAACGTTTGTGCAATCCGTACCTGAAATTAAAGCGAAGTCAATTTCGTCTCATTGGTAGATTATTTGTTGTTTGTTGAAAGTTTATGTTTGATTGATACCTCCCGAGATGAAATTGTCCCACTATCAAAGCTCAGTGTTCAACGAACACATTCAATGAAATATCGAATTGGACAAATAGGAGCCAGTTGCTGAAAGATTGATGTTAGAAACACTAAGCAGTAGACCATTACTTGATAAGACTCTATGTTTTAGCTGGACATTATTTGAACTATTCAGTTTAGTGTGTAGCTCACCGAGATGGTGTTACTGAGCAAGTAAAGAGCAACTCAGATACATGTTAACGTCTACATGGCGGTAATTACATTCCTCGGTTTTTTTTATGAAGGTTCGATAAATCAACTGAATTATTCCAGCAAAAGTCTAAGGAGGGTGAAGGAAATAAGCAGATACATTTGCGCATTACTTTCAAAATTTTTTACTTTAGTTTCGCTTTTTTTGATCTTGTAATCGCCCGCGCGGTGTCAAAACAAGGCTCTCAATTTCGTTCCGCGTGTTAATTATCTTTTGACAATTACTTCCATGGTTTACCTTGAATCTTCAGATACACCTTGGCTGAGACCTTTATGAAAGTATAAAGTTATGATTTTTTGATACGTTTGTTCTTTGAAGTCAGTGTTGTTTATTATGTTCGTGTAGTCCACGTAGATGTACTTTGGCTTGCAGGGTTTGTTTTTCCAGATTAACACTTACTTCTTTACAGTTCAGAAACCCAAACAAAGCTAACATTTAGGTTTTTAATTAGGTACATGCGTATATGGGTTTAAGCCCAGTGGGAAGTTGAAGAAGAATAATACAGAAACACAGTAACGCATGGATTGCGGACTCGCGAGTGGCAAGTAGATCATTATGAGATGGAAATGCGGGGGGTTTGGGCAATTTTCTGGAGCATTAATTTTTTTTTCTGACCTTTAGGTTGTGCACGATTTTCTTTTGGTGGGCAATAACTTGTGCCAATTTTTTTTAGAATCAAAAAACAGGACCTGGATGGTAGAAGCACCTGCTCGAGTTCTCCTTGCACGATTATATTTTTCAGCAGTTTTTGTAGTACTGGAATTTTTTTGGTAATTGCCCAGACCCCCCCTCCCCCCGTCCGTTATCAATAGCCTGACATTACATCTTCATAGGTTGAGTCAGTAAAATCGCAATACAGCACACTCACTGTAATAATTGTTTGAAAAAAAAAAAAACACTTTAAATACACTTACTAGATCTGAAATAATTACTTAAAAACCGTCGACAGTTTGGATTTGAAAGAACCTAAGAAACTAGAGGTAGCTATCTCCTTGGGAAGGTAGTTCCAGTCGGCGATAGTACTTGAAACATTAATACTTAAAAGCGTCCTCAGCGTATCGATTTTCTGAACTGAAGTTGGTGGCTACTTCTTGTAAAGTCATCGGGGTGATTTACACCTGCTCGAATATTTCCAAATAGTCGAGCAGACAAAGCAAAGAAACCTGCTTTTTTCAGAAAGCTCTTTCCTAAAAGTCAGTTTCGTATAGCTTTGTTCTCACCAGACCAAACAAAGCACACCACANCTTAAAAACCGTCGACAGTTTGGATTTGAAAGAACCTAAGAAACTAGAGGTAGCTATCTCCTTGGGAAGGCAGTTCCAGTCGGCGATAGTATTTGAAACATTAATACTTAAAAGTGTCCTCAACGTATCGGTTTTTTGAACTGAAGTTGGTGGCTACTTCTTGTGAAGTCATCGGGGTGATTTACACCTGCTCGAATATTTCCAAACAGTCGAGCAGACAAAGCAAAGAAACCTGCTTTTTTCAGAAAGCTCTTTCCTAAAAATCAGTTTCGTATAGCTTTGTTCTCACCAGACCAAAAAAAGCACACCACATCATCTGTTGTAACTGTAATGCGTTCAGGAGTGAAGCGATATTTCATGGCTGGATAAGCCTGCACAATGTTTCCTCTCTTTTCCATTCCTCCGATGTAATATATGTTGGAATGCTGGAATTTTGGAGGCAGACCACTTTCATGTTCGGCCGACCTGCGCGGTGTTCAAAGCGAGCTGTAGATCGGTTTTACCATCAACTGCTTTGGTTTTAGGGTCATTCTGGACTCTGCAAAGAAAAAGAGGTCAAATCGTTACCAGACTAATTCAAACGGTGAAAACCAAAAGGGCGTGGTC